TTACTCTGTCGTTCGCCCCCCCCCCCCCCCCACGACTTTGTTCCTTAGTGATGGAGAAGTCCTGTTTAGTCCATGCCACTGGTCCCCAGACAGGATCAACCCCTCTAGTCTGTTCCCGGGGCTTTGTCCAAGCTGCTTTAACTTAGCAACTCTTCTTCAGCTGTCAGAGCGCTGCTGCTATTGTATCCGCTTCTTCCCCGGGTTCATTAACACTCCCACAAGCAAATCGCTTTAAATCCAAAACAACAAAGGCACTCACCCCAGGCCAGCAGCACCGCCGGGGCCTGGTGCAGCCGCAGCTTCATGGTGCGAGCAGTTGCACTTCTTCACTTGGCCCTGGATTCTGCAACTGCCCCCGGGGCTCTGCCCCTCCTGGACACAGTGACCACCTCTCTCCCAGGCAGCTCAGCCTCCGACTGCATCTCCCCACCAGCAGCAGTCGGGCTGCCACTTTCCCCCGACCACCTCCTCCCTGCGGGCTCCACTTGCTACTGTCAGGCTCCCCAGGCTTGGGGATGGGAGGGGGGCGGGGGGCTGATGCTCAATGATCGATCAGTGCACAAAGGGAGCCAGCCCAAAGCTGGGTAAGAGCAGCAGCCTCAGCATCCGCCCTGAGGAGCGCAGCCCAGAGCGGAGGCTTGCATCACACCAGGCAAATCTCTCCAGCCGGCGGCGTGCATCCTCCTTTCCCTGGGCAAGGGGGGAGTGTGCAGAGATGCTGCGTCCGCCTGGCTCCTACTGCCCCGCTGGACCCCGCTCTGCACAGGGGCAGAGCCAGGAGCTCTGTCTCCTGCAGCCGCGAAGGGCAAACCTCCACCCCAGCTCCATGGCTGCCGCGGCGGCCGCTCAGGATGCCCCAGGTTCGCAAGATGTGGAATTAGAACTATTGCATCGCCTGCGTTGCGCAGGGGCTGCATTCCGGCCACTGCTCGGGATCAGCTTCCCCTGGGTCCTAGGGGCCGTCTACGCCAGTGCCTTGTGGAGGGCGCTCTCTAGTGCCCAGCTTGTGGGCCAGGCTCCATGGGAGGCAGGAGCTCCGGCTGGGAGAGTTTACCCTCCCTCTCTGCTTGTGTGCGCTACAATGAGACGCTCTATGGCAGAAGCACCCCCAGCCCAGCCCACCACTAAGAAGCTGCTGCCTGCTGGGGAAAGCATCTAGCCATTTGTGCGCACAAAAGGCTCTCTTTCTGGGGGAAGGGAACTGCTATTAACAGCATAGGGCAGAGCTACAAATATCATTATCTAGTTTTTACAGAGCGCTGTTCACCAGCCAAAGGTACAAAAGCTGCACACTCCAGAGGTGAGGATTTGAGAGCCATCCCGACACAGGATGCTAGCTGCAGAAAAACCATCAGACCTGGACCCAGCTCTGCACAGAAGCAGAACCAGTGCAAATTTTCCAAAAGAGACTTTCCTCCACTGAAACAATGGCCTGTCTTCAAAGCAGACACTATTCCCTTCCCCACCCCTTCCCACCCAAGAAAGAAGCAGATGTAGATAATATCAAGCCAGCATTTTTCATTTTTCATGTGGAAACTCTTAGATGTTTTTGTTTACTTACAATTCAAGGAACATTACCAGCCAGCCACTGTTTAGATAAAAATGTCTAGAGGAGACATGGCAAAAAGTGTCACTAAGGGCAAGACCCATTATGTATCCTGCAAACAGAAAGCAAGTCAACATTTTTTTCTTGTATTTTTCCAACTAGCTCTGCTTAACAATTGAAGAGCTTTTGAATCAGCGGGCCTACTTTGCCCTCCCAAAACACAGCTACTCCAGTTATCTTTTCCCACCATTCTGACACCTCCCTCATCTTATCCTATTCCTTATACACCCTGCCTGTTTTCCAGCCTGACACCTTTAACTCCTTATCATAAGAATGGCCACACTGGGTCAGACTAATGGTCCATCTAGCCCAGTATCCTGTCTTATGACGGTGACCAATAACAGATGCCCAGAGGGAATGAACAGAACAGGTAATCATCAAGTGATCCATCCCGTCACCCATTTCCAATCCTGACAAACAGAGGCTAAGAAACCATCCATGCCCATCCTAATAACCATTGATGGACCTATACTCCATGAAATTATCTAGCTTCTTTTTTAACCCTGTTAAAGTCCTCAAGCTGATTGTGCATTGTATGAAGAAATACTTCCTTTTGTTTTAAACCTGACTCCTATTAATTTCATTTGGTGATCTGTAGTTCTTGTGTTATGGGAAGGTGTAAAATTTTGTTCCTTATTTACTTTTTCCTCACCAGTCATGATTTTATAGACCTCTCTCATATCCCTCTGGAGTCATCTCTTTTTCAGACTGAAAAGTCTCAGTTTTATTAATTTCTCCTGATATGGCAGCTGTTTGTTGCCCTTTTCTAAATCTTTTCTGTTTCCAATATATCTTTATTTGAGATGAGGTGACCAAATCTGCACACAGTATTCAAGATGTGGATGTACCATGGATTTATATTGAGACACTATGATATTTTCTGTCTTATTATGCACCCCTTTTTTAAGTATTCTCAACAGTCTGTTCGCTTTTTTAACTGACACTGCATATTGAGTGGCTGTTTTCAGAGAATTATCCACAGTGACTCCAATATCTCTCTCTTGAGTGGTAACAGCTAATTTAGACCCCATCATTTTATACATATGGTTAGGATTATGTTTTCCAGTATGCATTACTTTGCATTTATCAGCATTGATTTTCATCTGTCATTTAGTTGTCCATTTACCCAGTTTTGTGAGATCCTTTTGAAGCTTTTCAAAGTCTGCTTTGGTCTTAACTATCATCTGCAAATGTTGCCATCTCACTGTTTACCCCTTTCTCCACATCATTTATGAATATGTTGAATATGATTGGTCCTAGTACAGACCCCTACTGGATATCACTAGTTACCTCTGCATGCTGAAAACTGACCATTTACTTCTATCCTTTGTTTCCTGTCTTTTAGCCAGTTGCCAATTCATGAGAGGACCTTCCCTCTTACCCCATGAGAGCTTACTTTACTTCAGAGCCTTTGCTGAGGACCTTGACAAAGGCTTTTTGGAAATTAAGTATACTATAGCCACTTGATCCCCTTGTTAACATGCTTGTTGACTCCTGCCTCTGGACAGGCTGAAAATAACCCCTTCCTTTGTCATTTGTGTGTAGCTCCAGAACAGCGCAGCAGAGAGACAGCATAATGGGTAAAACATGTTTTAAATAAGACGAATGTAATGATTGCCACTTATTAACTTAGGTCAGCCAGGCCAATCTGGGGGAAAAGAACGGTCAGCAGTGGGCAAACTCAGAATCCCATTATAGCATACAGAGCGTAAATCTAGTAGCTGACCCTTCTGATGCATACAACCTTAGGTCAGGTTTACACAACTGGAGAAAATCTACCTTAAGATAGGCCACTCCAGATATGAGAATAGAATATATGGAGTCAACATACCTTAGGTCGAATTTCTGTGGTGTCCCCCTTGCGGAAACTCTCCCACCAACTTCCCTTACTCCTTGCAAGTCGCTACCCAATGGAGGACAAGGGCACCATGAACAGTCAATTTAGCAGGTTCTTACTAGAGCCGCTAAATCAAACCCTGGGAGATTGATTTCTGGAATGTCAATCTCGGGGTAAGTGAAGACAAGCCCTTAGACAAGCGTGGTTAACTGAACTTTGCTCGAAGATGATTTAGACAATGCTACAAGTGAAGGCTTATATTATTTCTTATTTGATCTTCAGCTTCCCAGGTGGCTCTAACATTCTATTAATGGATAGCTGTAATGAAAGTAGTTTTGTGATTTAACTATAGTGTTGTGGTCTAATATGATTTTTTTTATGGCAAAGTAAACTTCTCCCGCCAGCTCTTAATACATTTAAAAATCAGAAGCGCAGTGGGGAAGACCCAGCACAAGCTGGGCCAGCTGATTCCCTGATCATGCCACTGGCTCTTAATACATTTAAAAGGCAGAGCTGCAGCGGGGTTAGCTCCCAGGGTCAGGAGCTAATCCCGCTGTGGCTCCCGCACTTATTGACTAGTCGATGGAAAATCCATTAACTAGCCGATTAGTTAAATTAACCTCTATGTAACATCCCTAACTACAAGGTCACCTTTTTTCCCTGTGGAGGATTTCCCTTTTGTCCGGCACTAAGCCCTTCTTTGAAGGAAAGAGTTAATTTTGCGCTGTGGCAGCACGCACAAGTTTATTTGAGCAGGTCTCTTTCCAAAGAGATTTAGATAAGCTTGTTTTGCTGATTTAGCTTTTTTAAAGCTGGGGTACTATGAAACATTTTGTGACTTGTACTAAGCAGGGGCAGGTACTGGTTCTATTCTTACATCACTGTGGAAGCGAGGTTTGCATTTACTTCCCACATGGATGCAGCTTCCACATTTCCTGCAGCTTATATGGAGGAGACATGTAAGAACACAAACTCTTTGAGATAAGTGGCTCAGAAAATGTTAAGGCCAGAAAGGACAATTAGGTCATGAGGCTGCTCTCCCTACATAGCACAGCGCAGAGAATTTCAGCCCTTTACCCTGTATTTTGAACCACCGGTGCCTGGCTTCCTCTAGGACAGAAAAATGACATTTGGAGCTTCAGTACAAGAGACAAAGTGTGTCAACTGGAGTTACAGTGGGAAAGAACTACTGCTGATTCACTGTAGCCTTTGGGAAACTCCAAGGGATGGGGAATCAACTTCTGGCCAACCATAACCCGTTTGCTGTGGAAAATTTTGAATTATTGTCAATCCAGAGCCAGTGTGGACCAAGCTTACACTTACATTGCATTAGGGCTGTAGATGAGAATGCTGGATTTGTTATCTGTCTCAGCAATGTCTACTATCCAGCACACTATTAGCATCAGGAGAGGCTGTGTGGTGGTGCTTTGAAGCCGGGGTGAAAGCAGAAGCTAGCATTCAACTGCTAATTCTTTCTACTACAAATGTTAGCACTGTGCCATATAGAGAGCTCACAAGAGAGACATTGAGGTGATGTTGGTTTTATGGAGCTATTTACAATACTTCTTCACTTACAAAATGAACTGGTTACTTACACCCATCTGCTCACCCAGACCAAGGAAACATTCTCTGTGGCTAGAGTCAAGTTCATCCAGGTCACCCCTCCCTTGGCTGGATACTTGTGTATCATTCTCTAAGCTGGGCTGAGGATAGCTAGCTGATTTGTAAAGAGCAGGTAGGTGCACCATTCTCCCCTGCAGGAGAGTGAGTTTGCACACCATGGATCACACCATGGGCTCAGCCTGTACTGGATCAGTCTGGGCAACTCACCCCTTTTCAAAGTCACACTGGAGGCCCTTCCAAAGCCAGCCTGACTCAGCATTCACACGCAGCTAAAGGGGACTTGGCAGATTGCAGTGACACAACCGGATCCCTGTCTTTCTTAGAAGGCAGTATTAAAGTAATTCTGTATTTCCCAGCTCTCTGTGGATTCAAGTACAAATCCAAACAGGGCAGCAGTCTCTCCTCTTCCTCACTACTCAGCGGACCTTCACTTCACACCTGGGGTTGCATGTAACGTTTTAACCCTTAGCCCATGGAACAGAGAACCTAAACTTGGCTACCCCAGGGACTTTCAGGGAAGCCTATTAGGCAGGATAGCAGCTCCCAAGGAAGCATGCAGTAGAAAATACTCTGCTCCACTCTGGACTTTACAGCACCATCCTTGCTGCATTCTGCTGATAGATGCTTCCCAGCAAGGTAGCTTATGAGTAAAGCAGCATGGGTTTTCACCCACTGCATCATCCCAGCTCAGACCAACCAGCTCATGTTCTTGAAGGCCTAAGCTCACTCCAAGGAGCTTGGGGCTGCTTGCCAGTCTTGAGAGGAGGAATATGCAGTCAGGCCCATGTTAGGGAGGAGAGTCAGAATGGCACAGGAACTGAAGGGGAACCCCACTCCTCTGCCCT